ATAATGAGGCACATGTTTGATTCAAAAGCGTTTGGTGTTATGATTAAAAACAACAGCTTTACAATATTTCAGGAAGTATATGTTCCAGGTGGACCAAATTTGTACTGTAATCAGTTTAGCAAAGCGAAGTCCTCTATAAATTATTGAACTTAATCACTATAAAAAGGAGATTTCTCGCCCTATTCCACATATTCTGTAAAGATATGTTATTACCTTACTTATTTTTATCCTCCTTATCAAACAAACAAGTCGTAAAAATAAATAAAATAAGAGACTCGCCCCAATTACCACTAACACAATTTTACTGAGTTTGACACGAGTCTCGCCAATTACTTTTGAAGTGGGAAAAACACGTGTCCGCTCAGTAAAATTGTGTTACTGGTAAATGTGGTGAGTCTCTTATTTTATTTATTTATTTAAGAAAGTCTCCCTTTTTTCTATGTTAAACAAGTCGTATTATAATTCAGGATCCGACGGGACTTGAACCTTGACGCAAATCTTGTACAAACTAGAGTGGGTGGATCGGCTTGCGAGTTTGATGATTTAGGGAGCCGGACCATAGGCTTAACCATAATGGGGGGCTCTTAAAGAGAAACCGGACTAAGACAAGTCCCTGAAAGAGGGTAGCAGCTCTTTTAAGATATCCTAAGTAAAACACATCAAACTTAAATGATATCATCCTCTGGGATAAAGCACTCCGGACGTAAACTAGTCCCCCATTCGGATGTCCGGGCGGAGACTACCTCGGGGGATGTCATCAACAGGTGTAATAGGGATAAGTGCAATATTTCACGAGTCGAAGCGTGGAATGTTAGGACAATGAGGCAAGTATCGAAATTGGAAAATTTTGAATAGGGGACTTTGTGGAAGTCAATAAGAAATAGACAAGACAGGTTAATAGGACACCTTCTGCAGCATGAAGGTCTAGTCAGAGAAATATTAGAGGCAGTAACGGGAGTTAGGAGGGGTAGAGGTAGACCTAGATTAGATTATTGTTCGCAAACAGTTAAGGATGTGGGCTGTTCTAGTTTTAGGGGAATTTCAAGATTTAGCTCAAGATAGGAAAGAGTGGAGGGGTAAAGCACTTCGGATGTAAACCAGTCCCCCATTCGGATGTCCGGTCGGGGACTACCTCGGGGGATGTCATCAACAGGTGTAATAGGGGTAGGTGCAATATTTCACGAGTCGAAGCGTTGAATGTTAGGACAATGAGGCAAGTATCGAAATTGGAAAATTTAGAATAGGGGACTCTGTGGAAGTCAATAAAAAATAGACAAGACAGGTTAATAGGATACCTTCTCCAGCATGAAGGTCTAGTCAGAGACATATTAGAGGCAGTAACGGGAGTTAGGAGGGGTAGAGGTAGACCTATATTAGATTATTGTTCGCAAACAGTTAAGGATGTGGGCTGTTCTAGTTTTAGGGGAATTTCAAGATTTAGCTTAAGATAGGAAAGAGTGGAGGAGTAAAGCACTTCGGATGTAAACCAGTCCCCCATTCGGATGTCCGGTCGGGGACTACCTCGGGGGATGTCATCAACAGGTGTAATAGGGGTAGGTGCAATATTTCACGAGTCGAAGCGTTGAATGTTAGGACAATGAGGCAAGTATCGAAATTGGAAAATTTAGAATAGGGGACTCTGTGGAAGTCAATAAAAAATAGACAAGACAGGTTAATAGGATACCTTCTCCAGCATGAAGGTCTAGTCAGAGACATATTAGAGGCAGTAACGGGAGTTAGGAGGGGTAGAGGTAGACCTATATTAGATTATTGTTCGCAAACAGTTAAGGATGTGGGCTGTTCTAGTTTTAGGGGAATTTCAAGATTTAGCTTAAGATAGGAAAGAGTGGAGGAGTAAAGCACTTCGGATGTAAACCAGTCCCCCATTCGGATGTCCGGTCGGGGACTACCTCGGGGGATGTCATCAACAGGTGTAATAGGGGTAGGTGCAATATTTCACGAGTCGAAGCGTTGAATGTTAGGACAATGAGGCAAGTATCGAAATTGGAAAATTTAGAATAGGGGACTCTGTGGAAGTCAATAAAAAATAGACAAGACAGGTTAATAGGATACCTTCTCCAGCATGAAGGTCTAGTCAGAGACATATTAGAGGCAGTAACGGGAGTTAGGAGGGGTAGAGGTAGACCTATATTAGATTATTGTTCGCAAACAGTTAAGGATGTGGGCTGTTCTAGTTTTAGGGGAATTTCAAGATTTAGCTTAAGATAGGAAAGAGTGGAGGAGTAAAGCACTTCGGATGTAAACCAGTCCTCCATTCGGATGTCCGGTCGGGTCCTACCTCGGGGGATGTCATCAATAGGTGTAATAGGGGTAGGTGCAATATTTCACGAGTCTGAGCGTGGAATGTTAGGACAATGAGGCAAGTATCGAAAATGGAAAATTTAGAATAGGGGACTCTGTGGAAGTCAATAAGAAATAGACAAGACAGGTTAATAGGACACCCAATGAAGAAATTTGTTCCGGTAGCTTATAAACAAGTGACCATTCTCTTTGCAGACATCCCCTGTTCAATGCCCAAACATGAAACGCAGTCAAACAGAAACATGATTGTTATTCTGAAACAAACAATCGCCCTCATGTACAATTATTCGAACGCGCAGTTGTTTACCGCCATTTATTGATATTTGCTCATCTTGTACCATTTGATGAGAGTCAATAAAATTAAAGGGGAAAATCTGATTTGTAAACGATTATGACGCTTTATTTGATACTTATACACTTGTAATGACTGTGTCTCCAGTGACGGTAACAAAAAGGGAGCTTTCTATTAATAGACGTTAAACTGATCGCAATTTAAGATAAATATTGAAAGCCTTTTTACGAAATTGTAACGGATGGTACAATTTAATGAAACAATCGATCCACTGAGAATTATCCATCAAACAGGAGACCTCTAAGTCAAGTTAGTAATAGATCTTACATTTCAAAAAGTCTCTGATACCTAGATAAAGTTTTCCAAGAATAAGAGTAAAGATCGGAAAAAACTTTGGACGTGTGGTAAAACAAGCGAATGATGAAGATACTGCGGATAGAGAAGGTTAGAAATGAAGAGGTATTAGAAAGAGTAAGAGAACAGAGGACTCTATGGAAGTTAATATTAATAAGAAATAGGCGAGATTGGTGAGTAGGACACCTTCTCAGACATGAAGGTTTAGACAATATTAATTTGAAATCATTTTTCCGATTTTTTATTAACCCACTACTTTTTTATTTACCCACTACAAACAACTTCAAATTAATGAGCGAAAAATTGTTGCTGTTGTCACATCCCCGCCGGGAATCGAACCCGGGACCTTTGACTTTACTCACCAATGTTCTACCACTAAACTACTAGAGCTGACAACAGCAACCACGACCAATCGACCTACAAGGTTAACGATCCGTCGATTTTTATTAACTTAATTGTTTTATTAACTTAATTATATATATATTTCGTCGGCCGTGTGACAACAGCAACAATTTTTCCCTCATTAATTTGAGGTAGCGTGTAGTGGGTAAAAAATTCAGAAATGAATTTTCAGAATAATATTTCATATTAAACTAACTCACTTCTAAAAGATATCTAAATTATATGTATGTTTAATCATAGTATATTCAGTATATAGTTACATTAGTTCGACGGATCGTTAACCTTGTAGGTCGGTTGGTCGTGGTTGTTGTTGTCACCTCTCGTAGTTTAGTGGTCAGAACATTGGTGCGTAAAGCCAAAGGTCCCGGGTTCGATTCCCGGCGGGGGTGCGACAACAGCAACAATTTTTCCCTCATTAATTTGAGGTAGTTTGTAGTGGGTAAATAAAAAAATCGAAAAAATGATTTCAAATTAATATTGCATATTAGTCTACTATTAAGTAACTAACAATGTCATAGGATTTTATATATGAAGGTTTAGTCAGAGGCATATTAGATGCAGAAACGGAAGTTAGGAGGGGTACAAGTAGGCCTAGATTAGATTACTGTTCGCAAGTAGTTAAGGATATGGGTTGTTTTAGTTTTAGGGAAATGCGAAAATTAGCTCAAGATAGGAAAGAGTGGAGGTGCGTGTCCAACCAGTGTTAAGACTGACGACCTTATGATGATGATGGTAAAAATTCTCATGGAGATCTACTTCTTTTTCTACACTTGTTATACAATGGTTTATGTCAATATGGTTAAAGATTTAACAGGTTTTATCGTCCTAATAACATGCGACACTTTAGCAACACTTCATGTGACAGACGAAGCGACACGTTTGCAGAATGAGTAATAATAAGGATTGAGAAAATTGCAATCCGAAGTTCGACTAAAGTGAGTTCAGAAATTTTCTAAACCGTACAACTATTTCCAAGTCAATTTCTCAACAAGTCGTTCGATTCATACTTTAATAGAACTCGATCGTGTTATACTGACACATGCAACGTTGTGGCGAACTTTTGAAATTAGTAGTCTGCACGACTGAATCCGAAGTTTTCTTAGCGTCAAGAAAATCGCTTGAAAGTTTATCCCTTCTCGATGGTGAATCCTTTGTTATTGAACGACTAAGAAAACTATCAATGATTGGAGTTTAACGGATTCAAGAAGTTTGTTCTGTTTTGGTAGATTTTCTGGCAGGATCGTGCTAGGACAATAATCTATCCCTTGACAGTTTGTCACTATTCTGCGATCTTCCTCTCTATCATCCGGATCATCTCTCTCTAAATGCAAATTTTCTGGTATTCTCACGATTCCTGAAAGCTTTCCCCACTTGTCACTTTGTATCACAGTGTAGATCGGATAGATCGATGAGATATCGACACATTACAGTGTCTCTATGCTCTATGCATTATCTTTCTATCTACTCTATCATTGTTAAGTTTCTTTGTTTCTTTCCAGTTCTTCAATCCACAATTTTTAGCCACTGTCATGGACTTCTCATTTAATAACACTATGCGCATCTTAAGTCAAAAAACTTAGAATTAGACAATAACAATCCTCAAGTTAATGAGTTACTCCTTTGTTTGCAGATTTCGACTCTTCAGATCGTTGTTGGTTCTCTTTTACTGGGAGCAATAGTTCTGGTAGTAGGTTTGGTCCAGTTAACTCCAAATGCCGCTGATGCGGACCACAGGTACTTCTTTTTAGGCACAGGGTCGGCGTTACTCCTTCTGGGACTTATAATGACAGGAGTGCGATGCTGCTGTATGCATTGCCCAGATAGTGGAGTTGAAGTCGAAGAAGAAGATAGGCCGCCTGAGTTGGAAGCCGTCAACAGTATAGACGTTCTCGTTCAAAGAAGAGATACGCAGGTAAGATGTTTTATTTCTTATTTATATGTCCAATAAAGTATTACTAATTAAAATTTCCTAAAGAGAATAATATAATTTATGTAATTCTTTTGACTATGAGTTTGTTATCGATCATAATTTTAATGTTCAGATTCAAAATGGAAGGCGAAAACCTAACCCCACTTTTCCTAATTCAACCTAATTTCCCTTAATGTAATTCAATCTAAATTAACTTAACCTAAAAACATCGAGAATATATACCAATAATAATAAAGTAATCAGGATCAGTTATTAAATTAAAATCTATGTATTTTGAGCATAAATTTACTTTACAAGAAAGTAAGTTTACGTTAGCTTCTTGATTATTCGTTAATGACATTTGATTTGATATATTTTTCTAATTTTATCTGTATTCTCCTTAACACAATATTACAAGGAGTGATAAATAACACAGACATGAAGCCCAATAGAAAACAAAAAGAAAAATAATTGAAAAGAATTATTTATTTGATATAGCTCACAGACAACACTAATGTGACAACTCAATTTGAACTTGGTTTTACAAAACGTCGTCGTATTCAAAACGATTTTCATTTTGATGTTTCAATTAAAGACTAATTATCCTCACTGCATAGTTATTACACGCTGTTGCTTCTTGGAACAAATGAATAGTGACAATTTGTACGTATTACGATGAAATCCCACGTAACCATCATTAGGACGGATATTGTTAGCTCGTGTTTGACAAAAGTAAACAGTGGTGGTGGTAGACATTGATTCATTAATAAGGGGGTTAAATATTTATTAAAGATCTTGTTTACCCTGCCTGCGGGTAAAAATAAACGAGCCTATATTTTGCAAATGTATGTGTGGGATGTACAAGCCATTTTTCTATTTATTTTCTTTTTTTCGTCTTCTTATTATCAATTTGTCCATGCTCAATTGTGTTAATTTCTATCTAATTCGTGAACGAAATTTAAACACAGGCGAATTCGAGTAACCTAATAATATTAAGTTATTATTGAGATCCGTCAAATGGGCATACACCATATGGTGGCAAAATTTATAACTCGAATGAGGGAACTGTGCACGCAAATTGTAAAATTGTTTATTAAAATAATAAAACACGTTAAAAAAGTAAAATTTGTTTTGATGATGAAGTCGACGAAGTTTTCTTCTAAAGTTAAATCAAATAAAAAGTTAATATGTTCATGGAAAAGCTGCAATAGCACTTCAGACATAGATCTTCACTCTTCACCTACATTAACTACTTTCCAATAAAAACTAACCGTTTTATATATGTAAAAAATATATTCGGAAAATTAGAGGAAAAAGTAAACTAATAGAAACTTGAACGAAAGCAGTAGGTATCAAGGAAGTGAATTCCGGAATAAAAATTTGTTCACGTTATTTTAATGTACATGATTATATTTCAGCAAGTATTTACCATCAGCCATAACCTTAATATTTAAAACTAGAATCATACTAACATTATAAAGTGAGAAATTATTTATTCTTGAGTAATTGATTTAACACAATTCTAATGATAGGATATAAGTATTTTGAGGTTAAGAACCTACCTGCTGCAATACAACAAAGTTGCAATAATGTGTTTGCAACGTTCTCTTAAATCGGTTTTGCACGTGCAACTCATTGATATGATAATGCTTAAATCACCCAGAATCACTTCACCAATTATATAACGTGAATCACTTTTTAAATCCGAAATTTGTAAAAAGTAGGCAGTAAACTTGACGGAATTTGAAGGCTAGCTTCCGGATTTGTTATTTCCGAATTTTATAATGTGATTGGCATTAAAAACACGCTCACCATCAAAGAAATTTCCTTTCCGAGACTCTTTGTGTCAGCCCAATCACATATTGTATCAATACTTATCATTTTATCGTAATTTAAAAACTTGGAAATTGCACGGTACACTATAGGAACTACGATAAATTTTCCCTAATCGGCGCCATTTTTTTAGGCTTCTCCCATTTGACGGATCCCAATATTAAGAATATCTTTCGGGTTCGATTCCCGACGAGGGTAAGACAGCAGCAACAAAAATTATTCCTCATTAACTTGAGGTAATCTGTAGTGGAATGAAATTAAGTTGATTTGGAAAAGTATTTTAAATGCTTTTTCTCAAAAAAGTATTTAAATGCAAGATCAAATAGGCATTTTTATTTTGTATTTGCATTTTAAATGCATATATTTCAAATAAATCACATCACTGATGTCAACTTAGTTAGCAAAAATCAAGTCGAGTGCAAAAAGTGTGCATCCAGTTCAAACAATAATTATATATACCTTATTATATATTCATAATAAGGTAAAATTTATCATATTGGGTGTCTCTCTCTCTCTCTCTCTAATATATTTAGTATGAACCGAGTGATTTAAATGAAGTATTTGTGTTCCCGGTTATCAAACGTTATTCCAGAAAGGAATGAAAGGAAAACAACCAAAAGGTTTAATAGACATTCAATAAAGAAATGTAATTTATATTCTAGTGTCTAGTCTCTAGAAAGCACCAGCTTAAGGTCAAGGATAATCGCCTTCGTATCATGTGCTTGCAATATTTACAGAAACCCTCTGTTCTATCCCCTTCCTTTCAAATTATTATTACTAATAAAATCGTCCATTTTGTTGTTTACTCACTTCGAACTCCCATAGTGGCAAACGTTCTGGTACCACTCTCTCGCAAATTCATATAAACACGTATATTTGTTACGTTGCTACCATCAACCCTTATTGCTTTTCTCCCCTTTCATCTGGCGATGTCGATTGTGTGCGCGTTCGTACTCAAATGAAATGAATCATGTCCGTTTTTGAATGTAAGAGAAATCGATGGTGCTCAGTAAACATGGATTTTCGTGCGAATAAAAACGTTTACTTTATGCATTATACATGGGACAAAGTGGAAGATTTATGAACGCAAGGGTAATAGAGCAGACGTATAGGTATGCTAGTATTAATTGAAAAGGGTTGGAAGGAAATGGGATGTTTGAATGTGAGATGTAATCTAGACACAGATATGATAAATATTCAAACGAGTTGGGTGAAGGATGTAGGTGATTTTTGTATAATTCAATAAAATCTGAGCAGATTATTGACAATAACTTTAAATCAAACCTACTAAATGTAAAAGGCTAATGAATAAAATAATAAATAAAAAATAAGAATAAAACTATTTTGCACATGTCTACAGACACATACACTCACGTACGAATACACGTAATATAATAATAATAATAATACAGTATGGGAATTATGTTATTTAATTCCCATACTGTATATGCCACAGTTCACACTTTCGCAACCAGTATAGTTATGTAATGTAAGTAAACTCAATTAAATAAAAAATTTTACAAACACCTTTACCAGCTACTCTTAATAATTTCGTACTATTATAACAAACTATAAAAAATATAAAAATAGGGATCTTAGATCACACAGAAAACGGGACCTCNGCATTTTTATTTTGTATTTGCATTTTAAATGCATATATTTCAAATAAATCACATCACTGATGTCAACTTAGTTAGCAAAAATCAAGTCGAGTGCAAAAAGTGTGCATCCAGTTCAAACAATAATTATATATACCTTATTATATATTCATAATAAGGTAAAATTTATCATATTGGGTGTCTCTCTCTCTCTCTCTCTAATATATTTAGTATGAACCGAGTGATTTAAATGAAGTATTTGTGTTCCCGGTTATCAAACGTTATTCCAGAAAGGAATGAAAGGAAAACAACCAAAAGGTTTAATAGACATTCAATAAAGAAATGTAATTTATATTCTAGTGTCTAGTCTCTAGAAAGCACCAGCTTAAGGTCAAGGATAATCGCCTTCGTATCATGTGCTTGCAATATTTACAGAAACCCTCTGTTCTATCCCCTTCCTTTCAAATTATTATTACTAATAAAATCGTCCATTTTGTTGTTTACTCACTTCGAACTCCCATAGTGGCAAACGTTCTGGTACCACTCTCTCGCAAATTCATATAAACACGTATATTTGTTACGTTGCTACCATCAACCCTTATTGCTTTTCTCCCCTTTCATCTGGCGATGTCGATTGTGTGCGCGTTCGTACTCAAATGAAATGAATCATGTCCGTTTTTGAATGTAAGAGAAATCGATGGTGCTCAGTAAACATGGATTTTCGTGCGAATAAAAACGTTTACTTTATGCATTATACATGGGACAAAGTGGAAGATTTATGAACGCAAGGGTAATAGAGCAGACGTATAGGTATGCTAGTATTAATTGAAAAGGGTTGGAAGGAAATGGGATGTTTGAATGTGAGATGTAATCTAGACACAGATATGATAAATATTCAAACGAGTTGGGTGAAGGATGTAGGTGATTTTTGTATAATTCAATAAAATCTGAGCAGATTATTGACAATAACTTTAAATCAAACCTACTAAATGTAAAAGGCTAATGAATAAAATAATAAATAAAAAATAAGAATAAAACTATTTTGCACATGTCTACAGACACATACACTCACGTACGAATACACGTAATATAATAATAATAATAATACAGTATGGGAATTATGTTATTTAATTCCCATACTGTATATGCCACAGTTCACACTTTCGCAACCAGTATAGTTATGTAATGTAAGTAAACTCAATTAAATAAAAAATTTTACAAACACCTTTACCAGCTACTCTTAATAATTTCGTACTATTATAACAAACTATAAAAAATATAAAAATAGGGATCTTAGATCACACAGAAAACGGGACCTCCAAACGGTCCCTATTTTTCTATAATTATAAATTAATTAACCGTTTGACCCATCATTATTTTTTATTTTGGCAAATTTCTCGTTTGATTAAAGCAAGAGCAGTGGTGTGTAAAGATAGGGACCCGGGTTCCATCCCCGGCGAGGGCGTAACAGCAGTATAAATTTTTCTTCTGTAGTGGTAAAAATTAATTCAAAAGTTATTCACTTCTGTATACTACTGAAAAGTAGATATTTTAAGGTTTTTCAAGACTGTT